AATATTTATTTCCCCAAAAGACTTTTTGAGTTATACATTTATTCACAAGAATTTCGTTATGTAGTGGTGGAAATTAGCGTTATTTTCAAACAAAGAAAACTATTTGAGCGGGCGTCCCCACGCTTGTTTTGCCGGCAGAGAAACTCAACCAATCAGAGACGCGTAGCAGGCACACGTGATGTAAGATTTGCATATTTCCCGGGAAAAATGTGTATTTTTGTATGTGTTTCTTTTAATACCGTCCAGGTCATACTCATAGTTGCGTTCATGTTAACGTATTAACCTATATTTATATAACGTTAACAAAATTATCTATAAAGGAACTTGATTTGTGTTGAACAGTGACTTCGTTTTTTGTAAGCCCAAAATGATAAAGCTTATAATTACCACGCCTAGACTCGATTATTGTAACACACTACTGTGAATCCCTAACCTTTGTGCCTCCCATCTATCGTCGATATCAACACGACGTTGCAGTAAAACAAGATTCGGGCGCACGGTAAGAAAAAATGTACTAGGTCATTCACGTCCCGAGTGCAAAGACGCCCGGTACTCGTAGGTCATGCCGACGAGATAGTTCGCCAGCCAGCCGCCGATCTCAGTGGAACCACGGCCGAAAATAAATACCCCCGTAAGAGTAAAAACAATTCTAAGAGGGTTGGTGAGATTTAAAATGGTCTGCACGCCGTGAACGTTCTTTTTCGTCGTAACGTAACACGAATATAACATGGTAGTTGTGCCTCAACTGATGGCCAGTTCTAATGCACTTTCGGCTCTAGTTAACACAGAAATCTTTAACAAAGATTATATCCATGTAATGCATGCCGTTACAAAGGTTCAGTTGGCAGAAATCTTTTCATTTCGTATCACGAAATCTCTTTAAATCCTAAGAAATGCTGCAGGAAAATTAATTTGGAGCGGGACTATACCAGCCAGCGGTACGAAGTGAAAATGCGGGGTAGATGTACATGGCACGGTTTGCTACAATATTTGGGCCTTTGAAATCTTTTGCCGCCCGCCCGGTGGGCGGGGCCAATGCCTGTGCTGAGGGCGTGACGCCGCTCTGTCTGATCAGGACGTGCCGTCGTCTTGGCAACACGTGGGAACGTCCCAGCGACGAGAAGCTTTCCACCTTTGATTTTGTGACATAAGCAGTAGTTTACGAGATATTTTTTTAAAACCTTTTCGCTCGTTCCAGTTCAGAATAGTAAGCCCCAGTAGCCCCTCGTTCTTGTTTTGGTTTGCATCAAATTTTAAATTCGGAAGCACAGGCTCACTCCTCCGCAATCAAATTTTTTATAAACTAGCTACGCCGAGCTAACTTTTCCGTGGTCCGGCCAGGTTACAACAGGCAAGGTGGCCCCATTCAATGTGTGTCTTCCGCTGACACCCGGCGCTCCAGAATTTAGTATTGTCCTAAAAATTTTGTGAACTCTTGAAAATGGTAAACACGTGCGCGGCGCTCCATCGCCACGGCCGTTAGTGTATTTGAGTGCTACGATGTTGTGACCGCGCGTTCCCCGCGATCGGAAAATGATTTAAGTGATCCGGTCTATAAAGAGGCGGCATTTCCTTTTGTATTTGGTTCTTTTTTTCGCTAACTTAGATGCATCGTGAACTCTTTATTTGCCCCGTTCCGTGAAATTTAGTGGTCCAAAACATAGATGCATTTTCAATATTCTATTTTCTCAGTCGTAAAATGTACCGACAGGCACATGAATGTACTGAAAACATCAGTATTACTTCGTTGGTTATTTGCTCAGAAATGACTCTAAAATACACCAGAGAGACTCTCAATTTTAAAAATAGCGTTATAGCCGGCTGCTAAGTAAACAAACATGGCGTCTGGCCGGGTCGACTCCGCCGATTCATAGTGATGTCTTGTTCCCAACGTCATATAACAAAGTCATATACGACTTATTTCATGTCAGAACTTAGCAACTTGCGGTACCTGCATCAAAGACCTCTTCATTTCGGTAAATTTCACTTCTGTACGGCGATCGCGTTAAACAAACATTTCGTAGGCCAGGTTGATTATTTTCACACGGTTGGCCAGGAAAATTATGAAACCTCCTAAACGATGTTACAGACAGCATTTTTAATGAATTTCTTTTTTGTTTCTTTTGCATGATGGATAAACTACCTATAGGTACACACACATCAACAGTAAGTACATGTTTTGTAAGAAAGGACTGAAAGGTTTGATCCCCTAGACCCCTTCTAGTAAACTTCAGTGATTGTTTATATCCCATTTCAGAGCTACCTACTAGTAGCTAACTGAAGCAAAATACTCATTTTCATCAGTCCAGTGAGAAATAGTGCCTTTCCCAAGGGCACAACATACAATAATAATTTTGGGGCCTGTTTGGGAGTCAAAGCCTGGACCTTTAGATTCTTAGTGCCGTGGCGTTTTAGTGTTATGGTATGCTTCAGCCGCCCCCCTCCCCTCTCCAAAAAGTCGAACCCCCGACCAAACCATTTTCATACCATTAAAATCACGGTAACTACTTCAAAAGAGGATGGTTTCAAAAGATCAGTGTCTTGACAATGCATTAAGAAGTGGCGTCGTTGCAAAATGGTAAGTTTAGAGCGTAAACCGGTGACAATATTTCCACATAGAAATGACCAACTCACCTACTACTTCTCTCTTTCGAAAATCCAAAATGGCGCGGAATCTTTGACCCCTGGGTCACCAACACCGCATCTCAATGTGTTGGGATAAATTCAGCTTCCTTGATGCCAAAGAGGTTTGGATGAAATTTATAACTCCTTGTTGATACATAAAGTAAACTAGAAAGGCCAATATTTGCTTTGGAGCAAATACAGCGATGGGTTCACCACATTTTACGACATGGCAGGGAAAGAATGAGAAACACAAGGGAAAACAATGATTTACATTGATATAACTATAATATGAAGTAACATACAACTAAAACAACAGTTGGATAGCTATTCCCTACTTTGGTTAGGATTTTTAATTGCATAATGCAAACTGTTGATTTTCAAAATAAACTAGAGGTCGGAGATCTCATGTCTTCGTCAGAGGTACATCGTTCTAGAGAAATTAACATGCGTATTCTTCAATCTTTTTAATAATCAATTTGGTCTAAAGAACAAAAGAATCTCTGTACTATTTTTATGGTACAGAACACCCTGAAACGGTTTGCCGCAGATTATACAGATGCGTCGTCACCCGTGTTATCCCCCCCCCCCACGTTATTTGAGTTTGGACTGTTACTGGAAAAAAACGTTCAAGAAATTCTTACTGTGTTGAAAGTGTCACGACAGCGCCGCAAAATATAATAAGAGAAGATGTTATAAAGGAATGAATCAGAACAGGGTGACTACTGCTGTTTTGTTAATTTGTCTTTATGACAAATAGAAGACTTTGTGTTCTTTGTGTCCTAACATTTGTACTTCTACAGTTAGTATATTCCAAATCTAGGCATCTCGTTTTCGGCCCTTCGTGTTTTATTGCGCGCTTGCCTTAAATTTAAGGTAATTAGATTTAAGGTCTCCAGTGGACGTCATCCATAGCAATTACTTGGTCTGGCCGTAGAAAATAACCTGACATATGTCCAACCTATCCTCCCCCTGCTGAAGTTATAGTACAATCCCTCAATGTAACGTCATTTGATCCCATCCCATTATGGGGTTCCCCGCTATATCCAGCTGTCGGCTGTCTCCAAGCAGATGTAGGTGGGGGATTTCTAAACACAAAAGGTCCTATTACGGGGACATAACGACCTCCACGACTCTCATCTTTGAACTCAATCTTGGAGACCACGACAGTAATATGCCTATCAAATTTCATTAACTTCCATCCACACATACAAAAGTTATCCTGCTCACAAGAAAAATTAACAAAATGCCCCCTGTAGTCACAACGAAACCCCCCACGAAGCTCCGTAACGAACTTAACCTTGGTCCCGACAATAGTAAGCACCACACCAAGAATTATAATCAACATTTTACAAATACTTGAGTTATCTTGCTAACAAGCCACAAACACAAAAGGTGCACTAACGTGACGCACGGACCCCCCACGAAGCCAAAACTTGTACTTGACTTCGGCCTTAACAGCGGTAATCTGCCTGCCAAAAATCATGGACATCGAATCATGCCTTCCAGAGTTATATCGCAAAATCCGCAGTTCCCCACACTCCGGCGAGACAATTTCATAGTCCTTCTGACGAAGACAATAAAAAAACGTTCATGCCCCGCATTCCAATGCTGGAGCAGAAAAGCTTGAAATACCTACCAAAACACTTGAATAAAGACATACTGTCAGTATGGAAATGCTCAAAGCTGTTTTTACTCGTTCTCTTTTGCCACCCATTCTCCCAATGCAGAGCCCATCATGTGGCCAATACGTTAACGTTAATTAGGCAACACCAATTTAATTTGTTGGTTCTCGGATTTGCCTCTTCATTTTTTTCTTATTGAAAAAAAAAGGTTCTTGCTCTGAATCAACTAAAAAATGCTCATATTTTGCCCCCAACAGTTGAGGAAAGTCCTTTTCTTCCTACTTGTTATAGTTTTTCCATCTATCAATGAAGTGGTTTGATTGAAAGTTCATAATTCATTGACCCAGCCTTTTGTGACCTTTTGTGTTGACTTCATGGCTCCTCTCATAGCATTTGAGGATGTAATAGGATGCCCAGACCTGTTTTTATTTTATTTTTGTTCGCAGAACCAACAAATTAAATTGGTGTGACCTTAACTAGCCAAGTACTAGTCATGATTGTCGCAGGTGGCAGCTATGAATTTTTCATTTCTAGTCAGCAACCTGACTAACGGCAGTGAAGCATGTCGTTGAACAGAAACATATCCCACGCCCGGACTATCGTTAAGCAACTGACGATACTTTTGAAAGAGCCTAGTATTTATTTGGCTCCGCACACCCCGAGGGTCCCGAAACTGACGTCATCAGCAGCAACTAGATGCGTCACTAGGAGTACTTCTGTGAGCTTTGAATTAGCCTTTTTGGGACAGAGCTTTGATGTCTGTCGTAATGTCAATAAGTTGTTAATTGGAAACGCTTTGTCGCCTCACAATAAACAAAATTAACCAAACGGTGCAGCTCTTTCATTGGCCAAGTAGCTGATATGACGTAGCTGTAAGCTTGATGTTTGTGATGTAAAGGAATGGGTGTACAGGATCTTATCTTCACCAGCGTCACCGGAATAGGCATGAATAGGACATGACAACAAAATCACAGCCATCAGGGGAATACGTGATGAAAAAAGGGCACCGATGACGTCAATCAAAGTAAAAAGCAAGGTTCTGACCATGCTCGCTACACCAGTAGGTCTCTGTGGGTATGTACGGTAACATGTATATAGTACAGTACAGTTGTGTACATCGGCGTCAATTCGTGGAGCCGAAGTTCTGTGTCTGTTTTGTAGTAACCAACTTGTCCATCCAGAGGAAAGACTGCGATTCTCCAACATAGCTATAGGCCACGGGACGTTTGCTGGTGAGAACTTTTTATCACGGCAGCCTCGACTTTTACTTCCGAACGTTCAACTCAAGTTGGGGCCAATCTGCAACAACGGTAAGACAGTTTGAGACTTCGTTGTTCTGTCTTTTTCTCGATCACATAATAAGGACTTCTATTTCTAACACTGGGAGACTGACCAATTTTACAAACAATCATTGGATGTCATCTAAGTGAAAAGACCTAGATCACGAGGCTCGGGCAACATCTAAATGGCTTCAAGTATGAATACACAGCATTCTGTGGCAAGAGAGGACACAGCAGTTGAGAGTAACACATTCAAATGCTTCCAGTGCTCATTTGTATGTTCCCACAAGGACGATCTTCACCTTCATATGAGAGACGTACAGTGTTGCCCAGGTTTTGAAGGAAATGTGTCAAGTTACAGAGGCAAATTGAAGAACTTGAAAAACAAGTACACAGTGAAGGATACAGACCAACTCATGTATAACAGGGTGGTATGTCGCACTGGGAGGAACCCAAATGTTACGAGAAAAATAATTGCAACAAATTACAGTGGCGTGACTAAGAAACAGTCAGATGAAAGGTCCATAGATGGCGCCGTTAAAACATCAAATCCGACGAAACGTAAACAAGAACAAAAGCGCTACAAACAGACCCTGCGTGGTGGAAATGTAACTTCTAAAGATGGCGCAAACATCTCAAGGATTCCCTTTCCCACCTTCAAGAAGCAAACAGTAACCGTGAACGTCAGATATGCGGACAAACTTCGAAGGGTTCTCGAGCAAGAAGGGAGCAGAAACAGATTTACAAACATCCTAAGAATCAAGATGTGGAAGAGGTTAATGGAGTTGGGGAGCACAAAGCAACCTACAGTGAAGAGACGAAGAGTTGAAGAAAAAAAGAAGCTGCTGGAATTACCCTGCACACAACAAGTGTTGCTATACGGTTCCAGTTACCGTATGATTACCGCCGATCGTTCACAGAATCTGACGGGTGCCTACAGCTCCGGCCTCGGCAACCACTGTTCAGCGACCGCGAAGGAAGACGCAGGAGACGCCCGTAGACCATCATTTCCACAAGGAACCGGTACCGTGTCCTCATGTGTACCGATTGACCTCCGTGTCAGGCCCACAACCACACAATCCTCCACGACAAGAGATGAAGAAGTTAACCTCCTTCGGTCGGGACCTCCGAGGTTTCGCAACGTTAGGGCAGAATATTTTGGTCAGCATGCTGTGGGCAGTCCAGAGTACACCCGTCAAAGGAGTCTGGCCGGGGTACTGAGGGAGGTAGAGAGGTGTGTATGTCGGGACTGTCGGCCTGCGTTTCTCGCAGGAGTTCAGACTATCGCACGCTGCCACGCTGAACTGAGGCGCGAGACTCAGTCTCGTAATGTGATCAATCAGTGATGGGTAGAATCAGAGAACATCAAGAGACATGCGGCTCAAGGACATTATACAAGGGCACTCTATAATACTGTACATGTAGAAGTCATTGGACATACACAGAGAAGAAGCCAATAATTGGCACCAATATGACGACGTGTATCTTTGTTGACCCCGTGTTAAAGTAGGCACGTGAAAATACTTATGAGACAAAGTAATACAACAACTGCATGTTGCATTCGGCAGCCTGCCATTCATATATCTAAAGACAGGGGGCGCTTTTTGAAATGTCGCTCCTGTATAAAGTTAAGTTTTAGCTACATACTAACTTAACAGTAGTTACGATGATTCGTAGCCAAAGCTTTAAATTACAATAATGTATTGTTAGAAAACATAGACGATGAGACGAATTCCGTAGCCTGGCTTGAATGTATGCTAGGGATTCTCGTAGACTGAATCTAGCAAGTGGTCGCTCTTTCTACAGCCACAAGATAAAAAATTGTGCACAGAAACAAACAATAGATAGATTTATGTCCACCTACATGAAAGTAAGCTATGTGATGGGCAAACAAACAGCTCTTATGTTGACGAAGGTTAGGCATCCAGGTGGAACAGTACTTGACTGGACAAACTAAATCAATCAACATACTAGTAACTGGCTATTACTAGTATGTAATCTCCAAGCAGATCTTCGGTGTCAGACTGCAAAACAGTATCAAATTGGCCAGAGTAACTGTCTGGCAAATTAATGGATACTGTCTGGCCATTTTAATACTGTCTTTGTAGCCACCAGTACATCTGCTTGGAGATTAGGTATTATGTGTGCTTGATAAGATCAGTAATTGTTTGTAAGTTTGGTGGAGGGTAGGCTCAAATTCAAGACTACATCAAGAAGTTAGGAAAATTGCACGGCATACTGAAAATTGTACGCGATCAAGTGATAATTCAACAGCCTTGACAGTATATTAAATGGAATTTGGCAAGACAGTGGCTAAAAAAGCTTGACTAAGGTAGCTGACATGATTATGCCATTTTACACTCCCTGAACACCGACGGTCATTTGACCTTTCAGGTGAATTACCGTAATTGCTCGGCGGGATGGTACACCAAACATGAATCAGTTATATGGCCCGTTTATAATCTTGGGTAAAAGTCTCCTTCAGAGATTGTTCTTCTGGTGTGTGTATATAGTGTAGTCTTTTGCAAACCTACGTACAGAACAGCACGAAGATAGGACGATTTTGTTACAGGTTAACATTTAGTGAAGCGGATAAGAAATCACCTGGACGGGTCTGTCTTATGTAACCTAGCCTCAGGCAAACAACTATTTCGAGCACACAGGGTCTAAAATAGAACACCGTGTTGCTAAATGTGTCTGATATTAACAGAAGAGATACAGACTTTAATTCTGAATCTTTAAATTTGATTTTAGAACGTTTCAAAACGGGTGATTTGTTTTTATTCCCGAAAGGTCATCTTTGACGTACAGAATGAAACTCGTGCGTCATCAAAGATGAGTTACCAATCATCGAACACGGATTCTCTTGGCGTCACCGGATATCTAGTCTAATCTTAAGTGTTAATTGTGAATCATTCACCGAAAGATCGTCAGTGTCCGAGTGAATACTACATATCTTAAGAATAGATATTATGTCGTGCATGTAATTACAGAACAAGGTCAACTTGTTTTGAATGTTTATTTTCACATCTCTACCGATTTTGCTCGTGATTTCGTCAGAATACTAGTAGATTTCATGGGTGAAATTACCATCGAAACATGACATTTTTTCTCCAGATCTGCCATGGTGACCGGATTTATATTTAGCATAAACGCTCGCACAGTACCTGTCTTTCCAGGTAGGACTGACTAAATCGTAGCGACCCTCCCAACTAGATGGCGGGGCCCTAGGGGAAGGGTAATTGTTCCCTGAGCATGGGAGTGTGTATGTGACACAAGGTTACCCTTCTGGGCGTTTCAGCGGTGTGGATCACTGCAACTAAACAAAGGGATACCAGTTTGACACCTGGGCTGCCGTTTGTCATTCGATGTAGGGCGAGGCCAGGGCAAGAACTTACACTCAAGCAGAAGAAAACCTCCGGGGGATGACTGAGGACAATAGTTGTTGACTTCTTACTTGGTCTTAAGTGTTGCTGGTAAAATGTCAGAAGATAAGAATAGCAACGACGGAGAATTATGTATAATTATGTACATTCCTGTATCGTACAAAAACACGTTTTGCCCAAGGGTATGTTAACGTTGCATGAAAACAGATGTCATACCAGTGCGCGGGGTTTTTAATTAAGAAATTATTGCAGGCATTGGAAGAGAGATCATTTGAAAGACCGATGACCTTATGTCCTTGGAAGGACTTATACAAGCTTTGACGTTTGACCTTTGCTGTAAAGTATGGAGTTACTGCTGTGAGAGTCTCTATAGGTTTGTTGGCTATACAATGGGTCACAAGTGCATGAAAATATGGAGGTAAAATATATCATGAATGAAATGCCATTTGCAACCACCTACAGTTTTGTGATTTTTTCTTCAAGGCAAGCTCAGTTACGCTACCAATTATCTCTACTTTGTTGAGGATTTCTACAACTTTTCCGACCATTGCCGTCTGGCCTAGCCTCTACCAGGCTTCGGCGAGGCGGATGGAAAGAGTAGAAATCGTCCAAATAGAGAGATAACATGCCAGGGGAGTTTGTCTGCGGGGAGAAAACATTTTACCGCACCCGGTTACATGTATCTCTCTATTTGGCCGATTTCTACTCTTTCCAGCCGCCTCCCGAAGCCTGGTAGAGGCTACTATAGCCCTAAGTGCGAAGGAGGTGGCTCATACGGTCTCTGACAGTGAGAAATGGTTTAACACGGGCTATATACAATCCACTAGAGTCGTTTTATTTGACCGTACACGTGAAAAGTCAAACTGTACGTGTCAAGGCTACGTCTGCCCGGGTGGCAGTTAAACTGTGTCGGAATAGAGAGGTCATAAATCACCTGGACAACTTGATCATACGGGCCACAGGTCACTAACCTCATAAACCATGTGCAAATGCCAAACTGACAAGCAAAAATGCATCGTAAAAATGCCTCCGCTCATTTAGGCGTCACCAAAAATGACGACACCAAATAGCAAACGTTTGTCATTAATTAACGTTTGTCATTGTTTTTGTGTTCTTATGGGCTGTGGATACTGTTAATATAGCCAAAATACGTGATGACATAACACAATAGACTGGATTTTTTACCCCTGGCATTTGTCTGGTCTTTCTGCTTGAGGCCGTTACGCCAGTGATGTATAGCTATTAAGTGGGTTAAGGACCTTCAATTTGTTAAAGACCTTTTAAACAAATTTAAAGACCTTGTAAACAATATCCGGAGAGTATTATATGGTACATTTCGTTCAATCTTGAATTGAATAGTTTAATTTGCATTGGAAAGTGTTTTTCGAAGGGTAGAATTGCACTAGTGGTGGTGACATAGAGATAGAATACCACAACACCGCCTGGGGCTACAGATGCAATGTTTAGGTGTTGGTCGGGGACGGTATTCAACACAAGGTGATGATGGGGTAAATACTAGGTCTGGATTCATTGTGTAACTGCGTTGTGGATAATGAACAAATGGGACTAAAATTTGCAATTGAAAACATAGAAACTGAACCCCCTCACACGTACACAAACACACACACACAAAGACACAAAGACACACACACGCACACAAAGATACACACACAAAGAAATGCACGCACACACACACACACACAAAGACACACACACGCACACAAAGATACACACACAAAGACATGCACGCACACACACACACACACACACGCAGAGACAGAGAGAGAGAGAGAGAGAGAAAGAAAGAGAGAGAGAAAGAGAGAGGAAGAGAGAGAGATAGGCGCTGACATACACACACATACAGTAAGAGATAAACGCACTCTCACAGAAATTTTCCCATGGGATTCAGTTGTCAACAAGCCAAGGATGGCGCCATGATATTTTGACCTTTACCATTTCCACTTACATCATGGGAAAATTATCACTTCTGGTGGAGCGACAACTGACAAGGTCAACTCAGGTCAAAAGGCACTTGTGATGAGTTACATTCCTGTCCTTTTCCTCACCAATGAATGTTTCCAAGGGCATTCGAAACACTTAAGAGATGAAAATCAGACAACAAAGGGACTCACAACAAAAGGGCCATGGATAAACCCTGGCTATTTGACCTTTATGGTTCGATCTGTTGTTGGCAAACTGTCAATATCAATTCAAAGAGAGGGCGGGAGGGGGGATTAGAGGAATTCCGTTCGTTGTGAAAGTTTGGGAGTCGTGCTTATGTTCGTTAAACGCCCTTGATACTGAGCGATAGAAACTTTTCTTGGTGAGATGAATTAAGGTAAAAAGGAAATGACATACTAGCTATTAATACAATAAATTCAAATGGCGTGGATTTAAAATAGAGAGGCATACAAAGCGGTGATAACAGGGTGTCTTTTGATTTGTCCTGTCCATAGTCAATTGCTTTCTGCTCATATCTTAAAGTCATCCTTTGCAATTTCAGGGCAGCAAAACTGGGAATATTCTGAAGAAGGCAATTTGTATGGTATTGACACATACTGCCTCACATTAGCACATTTGAATCAGTATTTCATACTTTGGGCTTTTAAAACAAGCCCCAAGCCCCAAGCTGAGTCCTTTATTTTCTGGGTGGTACCCTAATCAGCCCAGGACCCTTTCAGTGACCATTTTTCAGAATTTTGGTAATTTTTGCTCCATTAGGGTCAATATACATCGGGATAGTGTGGTTGCATCTCAGTAAGTAGATAAATGACTAGAATATTGGCTTTGAAAAATGGGGTTTTCAAGCCCTAAAAACTGCATGGAATGCCTTTTAAGATATCCACACATCTTGATAAATGCTGTGCGATGCTTGAAATTAATCTGACCTAACTAACGTCTGTATCACTTTATAAACGCTGGTCAGATTAACCTTTAAATTTTATACACAAGGACACGTCCTTGCCACGCTTGTGTGTGATTCAGAGGTATGTTTCCATGAAAGGGTAATGTCATGCCGACTCATGTTTCTGAGCTTACTCATAACATTCAACGTCCGCGTAATCTTGTTTGCTTATTGTTTGTTTCAAATAACATAAGATCTATACTATTACAGTCCAGGAGTTTGACAATAAGAAGTATTTTATTCCTTTCACCACCAGAACAAATAGCGAAGTTGACATGACAACAACAGAAACAGAGACAGTAGTAAACTTACGTCTCAAGGTATAATATAAGTCAGGAGGTTAATTCATGAAAATCTCCATTTCTAGATAAGACTACAAAAACAAGGTCTGAAAATTCCGGATAGATATAATATAACTGCAACAGTCTTAAGTGGCAAAGGTTTATATCTACAACAGCACTTCTGAAATTCTGGTTATATTATGTTTAAAACAGGGCTACCAAAACTAGGTGCCAGTCCTAACTTTATGGTTCATCAGACAAAATGTGGCAATCCATGGCATTGGAATGTACCAGGCAAATAAGTATAAAAGCAAACCTATATATAACTGACTAATGGCTAAAAAATCTGAATTTCTTCAATATATTGGTACAATTCTACATTTACCTAAAATCCATGAAAATGTGTCATATTATCTGCCAATAATGTTACCTTAATAAAAGAAATCCCTACCTATTCTTAAAGTTGTTCCTAAAGCATAATGATACAAAGACTTTTCTGTATGCCGAAAAAAATCACAATCCATCAAAATTAATTTACTTTGAAATTAGCTGAGACAAAGTTTACAATAGTTTACAGATGTGTACCTAAACTTGTAGAATTGATTATAAGTATATGTGTTGAGGTTGTTGCCTCAAACACACTTGTCAATTGCATAATGCATTACGATCGTTTAGGAATAATTGAAGGTTGCACTTTAAATAAAATAACAATACATGAATGAATGAAGTTAAAATTACATTCTAGTATTATATGTAGCTAACATAATAAGTCATGATCATTACACAAGTTATTCATTCATACTTGAATCAGCTTTTTAATCATTCTACTATCTTTCATCTTTCCAAAAACAATAAAAGCAGTCACATCAATTTGAACAATTGGTGTGGCAAGACAGACACATCTTTACTGAAATAATTCTTAGGTTGTAAGCTTTTTAAGTTTGCATTTTTGCCCACACCTTGATATTATTATTATTATATTAAATTTAGTTCACATAGGAATATGCTTGTCATACCTTGATTAAACGTCCAATTGTCCGCTGTATATCAAATGTCTTATCAAAGAGCGGCTTGACTGTCTTTCCTTGACTCACAAAAAGTGCGTAAAAGCTAACGTCACGTCGTCTGCAGATATTTGGTCTCACGGAAATGTTCTCCTCTGCGCGGCATAGTCACTGCGAACAGACGTTTCGATCTCGTTCAGAAGAACGGCCAACCTCTCGCGAGAGTTGATGTGTGACTTGGGTTCCCCGTTGAACGCGAGCCGGTCGTCCCGCCTGGTCCAGCCGTTGTGACAGGGAGGTCCGACCGCTGATGGTGTGACGGTTGTCGGCGGATGATAAGACGGTTTTATCCGGATCAGAGGCGGTGGCGATGGCCTACGCTTCTTCACCCGTAGGTCCATCGGTTCTGGACTGGTGTCGTCTCGCTTGGTCTCTGTATCTTGGCGGCTGATCTGCGCGTATCCGTTACCGGTTCCTTGTGTCATAAATGGCGGATTAAATGGCGGGGTTCCGTTATGTAGTTGTGGTGGTGGTCCGAGACGGTAGGCTGGATGTTTGCTGGCGGCCTCTGTCTGAAAGTCTAACGGCGAAGTGGTGTTCATAGGGCTTCTGCTGGGCGGCCAGGCCCTAGTTGGCCCAATTGTATGCAGCACATGGTCGTTTTGGTGTGTGGTTCCATTGCAGTACTTGTATGCCATGGATTGGTCAGCCGTATCCTTGATTTTCTCTAGCTGTTGTTGGAATGGGTATTTTCCTGTGTGTGCTGAAGGATTCTGTGGAATAGCTGTGGCAACACTGTAGTTTTGAGTGTTAGCTATAGGGCCGACCAATGGGCGCAGCGGTATCCTTGGGTCTACTCCCTGGGGCTGTGGCGCGTAAATCACGTTCGTTCTTACGGCGGCGAAGTTACCGCCCTCCCCCGGGTGGCGGCGCACGAGGTGCTGAAAGTCTCCGAAGGAAATGTTTTGCTGTAGGGCTTGATATTTTGGCGGGGAACACTCCACAACGTCGGGGTGGCCCCCCCTTTTGGCAGCGTGTCGGTGTTCTGGACTTACTGTAGCGGTACGTGGCATCGCAACAGACCGCTTGTGGCTGACACTGACCGCTGTAGTAGACCCTCCTGTCAGTATTGCGTTATTTTGAGACTTGTTGACAAGGTAGGGTTCATGGGTGAGCCTTGTCAGCTGGTCTAACGGTGAAGGTGCCAGCGGCCCCACTGTTACGGGTAGCTGGCCGATATTGCTTGGTGTGGTGCCAGGCATTGCTCTGTTGGTAGGGGAGGTGTGCTGTTTTTCCAAAAGTTTCTCCCTCAAGGCCTCTACTACAGCGCTCTGTAGTTTGTCTGTGGCTGAGATCTGTGGTGGTTCTGTCATGATCATGGTGGTGGTTCTAGCGCGCTGAACTCCACAGTCTTGTCCAACATAGACAATGTGATCCTCTTGCACCGGCGACTTTCTTTTCTGACTGGCCTGGGTAATGGAGTTCGCTTTCGGCGGCTCAATACTTTCTGGTTGTCGCTCAGCAGTCGACGTTTGCCTGCCCCGCACGCTTTTGCTTGGCGTCGCTGGTACCGGTGTAACTTTCTGGTCACTTTCCGTCTCGTGGCTGGTCAACTTGCGGCTCGTGGCTGCAACAAGAACCAAGCGCTGGTTCTTTCTTGATGCTGACCTCCGGTATGGGTGACAGGGCAGGACTACTGCTCACCTTCGCGTGTGTGTTGCAACGCGAACCTGTCGTGACATTCGCACCCTGGACATTCGTCTGTGATTTTTCATCCCCATTGCTCTCAACGCCTTTCCCTCCCAGTGTTTTGCTATTCACCACCGTCAGAGCCCTTTTTAGCCTCACCTTGAGCATTTGCATGAACCTGGCTTTCAGGTGCTCGTGTTGCAGAATCTCCCGAAGTTTGTCGGCCTGTTGCTGGTTCCGGATCGTGATTGGTCGCTTGAATGCCGGAAATTTGACTTCTGTTGGAAATGTCGTGCCGATGGGGATAAGGTCGTCTGCGGGTCCGACGATTTTCTCCACGGGCGCTTTCGCAATACTTTCTGGAGATCCGTCCGCTTTCACGTTGTTATTGTCAGGTGGTATAGGCACCACGGACAGCGCTGTGTTTGTGTCTTCCTCCGGAGTGCCATCGTCCGATGACACCTCTATGTTCGCGGCAGGTGAGGGCACTGATTTGTCGGCCGCGATGATCGGGGTCCCCCCGTGACACGTCTCGTTACTGGCCTGCAGCTGTGCCGTGTCTATGGCGGTGTGTCCTTCCTTCAGCGCCTTCAGGGCCTCCATGGCACTCTCTCTCCTCACCAGCCCCGAATAGCACTGTTCTTCCCGCATGTGCATAAGCAGAAGCTTCTTTTCCAAACACATAAAAGGGCACTGAAAACACCGGAATATTCTAGACTCTCCCACGTAGTACGGGCGAATCTGATCTATAAAACATGGTTTTGGAGCTATAGTCCGAAATTTTGTGGTGCCAGGCGCACCACCATTGGCAGTTGAGGAAGCTACATTCCCGTACGTCGTCAGCGGTGGTGCGTTGGACGACGTAACCGACATATCGATCCCTTGTTGGGCGGGGACGCTTGCTTCTGTAGCCGGCTGCTCGTTGTATACCGACGGGCCTATGTTTTCTGGTGACCCCTGGTCTTTTGCACCTCCCGAACGATAATGGTCTCCATTAGAAGGGGTGTTTTGTGAGTCAGTCATTGTCTCTCCTAATTCTTGCATTTCATGGGGATCACTTGAAGTCTTGCTGTTTGTCTGACGAATGACGACCAAAACGTCGCCACTAGCGGTGGAAACTGGCACGCTACAGGTTGGATCCGGTTCGAGGGCTAGACCGCCGACACGCGCGCCTTGTGTGTGCAGGGCTGGCGGGGCGGACTGGATCTCCCTCTGAGGAGGGCTGGCCTTGCGGGGCTCCAACCCTTCCAGGTGAAGGTGAGACAGCTTCAGGCGGCGGGTCTCAGTCTCGGAGAGGCCGCGTGAAATATCCGGTTGTAATTTTTTTATCGTCGCTTGATATTCCGAGATCGAAAACACGTCCGTAATGACTGGCGTCCCGTCACTTTGCTCTTCAGTACGGCTGTCCTCGGTTACGGATGTCAAACTTGTCGCATCGTCCATTCCGTTGTTTGGTGGGGTGGTAAGGATCACCTTTGAAGGTGCCGAGCTCTTTTCTGTACAACACTGCGAGTCGAGTGACCGAACTTGATCCTCTACTTGCTTTTGCGGACCGGCACCTACCATTCCCTGCAGGGGTGGCACGGTTACAGTACTATCACGATGCGAGATTTGTGTTGTATCGCCGCCTGAGTTCGTAAATTGGTGAGCGTTACTTACAGTTGCGTCTCGGCAGGTGTCCCTTCTCTCGACCTGTATCTGTTCTGCCCATGTCCGGGAGTGCGGCAGGTCTACGTGCAGGCCGTTCCGTGGGCCCTTCTGTAACTGGTGAGGCTGTTCGGCGGGACTGTTTCTCACCACCCCTTGGCCTGAACATTCCCCATAATTAGATAATTGGTTAAATAGCGCCATCCCCAGAGCCTTTTGACCTTTTCCTGAGCTATTCTCAGCCGCCGATGTGTCATTGCCCCGCGGCTCGGCCGCTCCTTTCACGGGCAGGGATTCGGTGTTGTCGGGCGACGTTTTTTGTTGCTCACCAACTTCGGGTTCGTCCACTTGGTCTAGCAAATGCAATAAATCATCAGTCCAACACCTCCGCTTGCGCTTGACTTGTTGAGACTTCGGTTTGGACTCCTTGTCTTCTATCTGGATGAGGATACGGACATGTTGGGCCGACGAGCCGACGGGTTCCTTCTCGGCGTCCTCGTCCTGTTGGCCGGCGCGCTGTCTCTCCACGTCGCGTCGGTGGCCATCGACGTGGTCGCCGATGCGTTTCCTCTGAAGCGTGGTATACCCGCAGCCGCTACACCGGTACCTCAGGCGAGATATCATCATCATCTAGGGTGGGGCAACACCAATAAACTGTGTTACACATGAGTAATCCCTCGGGTATATTGAGGACACACTATAGCTACAAACACAATATGCCACTATACAAATATACACTACAGGCAGAGGTTGCCGGGGAAGATCGTGACTTTTCTATCACATACCCCGTTTTCTGTCGCTGTGGTGGGGAGTAGCGACAAAAAACAGGGCATATGATAGAAAGGTCTCAACTTCCCCTCCAACCTCTGCTTGAAGAGCACTAGTAACTAGAAGAAATCGTACCTGTTAACAACATAGCTTCAGTGACAGTGGGACATGGCTCAGGTGCACAGAACCGAACTGAAGAAATGAAGAGACTGGCCTTCTTGTCAGGGCGACAGATTTTGTGGAATATGAATAATCCATAAATTATATCCATAGCCTTGTTGATATGAAAAACAAATGTACATTTCGGCACCATAGATATTGGTTATTGGCGTATTTTTCAAACAGCTACAGACGTCATACCGTATTTTTGGTAAAGGTATGTACACAAACCTACCACTTATTTTTCTATTTTTTCTTATTGCTGTGTTGATATGAAAAACAGAATGCACATTTTGATTCCACAGATATTCGTTTATAGGCGTATGCTCAAAACAGCTACAGACGTCACACTATATTTTTGTTAAAGACAAGTAAACAACGCGCGACTGTTGTTTTCTGTCTATAAAGACTGGTCCAGGATGTTCTGTGACGTCGGTACGTCTCCACGTACGCACGTGTGACGAAAATAGGTATCGATTTTGGCAAACACGCGGAGGTTCTAGAATCGGGGCCTTCAATAAACTTATATACTCATAATTGCTGTCCGTCATTGATTGGTTTATAGTTCCTCGAAATTAATTATAGAATATGGTCAATAAGGTCAATACTGAAACAGTTATTCACTGTATCCTCTGCTACCATTTGTTAACCACGCTTCCCAGGGAATAACAGAGTCTGATATGCATATTTTTAGCCTGTCAAGAGAAACGCCCCCTAGGACCTCAACACGCACTGCAGGTAATAGATACTGTAGATGTCAAGGACGTCAGTCAAGAATTACAAATGGTTTTGGTTCCCTGCGTTTCTCTCTTGATATCGATACTTGTATTTTGTATTGTAGGAGACACGTATCCAACGAGTTTGTGACAAGATACATGCCACGTGCATTTTGGAAGACAGTATCGTGTCAAAAGATATGGTTGGGGATTTTAGTTGGGGATTTTACCTCACAAACTAAAATCTCCAAGCCTCTGCAAGTTGAAGTGTGATTCGTCTATCGTATACTTGGCGTTCCTTTTATATACTGGACACCCCCAGTGTAATAGAATATGAAATATGTATCTGCCCTGCTTGAACGTGGAAATGTACCCAAGCCTCAAACAGCAGAGACGTGGAGTTCCTCCACATTCTGCTAGGGGCGCTTTTGCACGTCTTCTCCCACTAACAACTCCGTTGCCCCAGGCGATATTTTCACAAGGGCGAACATGACACCTGTGAGCTTTTAAACACCTCGACACGGCACAATTACAATTGCTCGAGGGTGTCACGACTCTGCGACGAAACACAGGCCGTGGGTGGGACCAGTCACAAGACAACCTGATTCATATCTGAAGGGTTATGCTAATAAACTTTGTGTAAACAACCTTCAAGCAGAGGTTGTGGGGGAATGATCGTTACCTTTTTATATTGGCCGTTTTTTTTTGTCCTGACCCCCACCCGTCGGTGGCTGGCAACCTTCTCTGGCTAATGGATACTGCCTGGCCAATTGATACTGTCTTTTTGCCACCGAGAGGGATCTGCTTGGAGATTAACCAAAGTGGCCACCTTGGATAGGTGAAGAGGGTCACCTCACAACATGACTGAGACATAAATGATTTCCAAGTCGAGATATTCTAATGTCAAATGCTGTAAATGCATGTCCAGCATGTGGGGAGGGTGGCACATGGAACAATTTACCTTGAACAAAAATATCACCCAGCAGTCAAGGAAAACTGGCTGGTTTCTGCATGCATTCTCTTTAGTTGTCATCAAAAATGAACATGATCAAAAATGATGTGGTCACCATGGGCAAGTATCAGGCCTTGAGCAGACCCAAGTCAGGACGGTCGCGGTCGCGTATGCCAGGTGGTATCCTGGGACAGGTTGCTTAATGCTTGTGTCAATGGGGAAAATTTTTGGGACCGAGAAAAAGCGGTCACCATGGACAGGTGGTCAGCTTGAAGAGGTGGTCACCTTGGCAGGTTGACTGTACATGAAACGTTCTCCGGTAATGTAACGTGTTTTTGCGAAGTTTAAACAGGCAAATTGTTTAAACAGTCAAATAGTTTAAACAGTCAAATTGTTCTCTCCAGCAGACCAAACTCCCTTGGCATGCCATCTCTCTATTTGGCCGATTTCTACTCTTTCCTGCCGCCCCCGAAGCCTGGTAGAGGCTAGAGTGAGTATGGGGGCCCTAGTATACAAATAGGATGGCACCCAGGCTAAGCCCCTTTCAACAGAACACATTAAAAGAATTCCTCCGGTCAATTCAGCAATGGAGCTCCAGGGCCGGAATTTCTCCTCTAGCAAAGGATTATACCACCTTTATAGTAAACGTGTTAGGAATGCCGAGAAGACAACACCTGGAGAGAGGTGTGCAGCAACAAGTCCCGTATTGTTCTCGTTCAATGTGTTAATTCATTGTAACAAAGACAACGTATTACATGGTAGAAATCAAACTTTGATTTAAAACCGGATGAGACTAGATGCAGTACTAGTATACAGTATGAAGGCATGAGGGATTGGGAATTAATGTTTACGACTAAACGCTGCATCCATTGGATGGAAGGAATTCTGCTTAATATACTTTGTATACACGTAATTTTAACCCATTCAAACCATACAATTGAACCGTACTCTACTTTGAAACCAAGTAAGCCGAAGAAAGTAGACAAAATCCATGAATTTTTTTCCAGACCTATAAAAGTGACTGGTGGTGATTAATATTCTAGGCATGAGATAGAGTGGTCTTAACCGCTCAGTACTCACTGATCTGAACAATGTCGCTTCCAGTTAATTGTTGACAGACATAATCTCTTGTCCAACTGGGATAACCATTCTTTTGAGCCTACGTACTAGATGTTCAAAATACTTTGGGGGAGCTTTTAAGAATCTAATTTGTACTTTCAACCTTCTTAAGATTTTAAGATAGCTGGCAGAAACGCTGGAGAAACTTTTCAGAAGAGAAACCGCAATAGCTTTTAGATTATTTAGGAATGTGAAGGTTCATACCATATACGTTGAACGGAAATCTCAGAATTTTGTGAACTCATCACAGATGTGTTGTGTTGACACATGCATGCTCATTTTTCAGTGATTTTTTAAAAAACTTTGATTGACGAAATTCATGATCTACATCATTCCACCACGTTTTCATTAAGTAAAACGATGAAAAACAAACGCAGATAGTAAATAATTAGATAGGTAATTACATCCGCTTTGGTGAAATTCGCCTGTAGACGAATGTCGGTTAGTCCTCATTGTATTAATTGCAAGATGCCACAGTCCACAGTTACAAAAAAAAACCTAATGTGTCTTGATTTTGTAAACAAGAGAGACCAGAACAACTAGCAAACCGCAAAAATCCACGCTATTCAGACTAGTACTATCACGATAACAACATCACATAATCTAACAAAAATGAAAAAATTTCCCCTACCAATTCTCTCCAAACCCACTCTCCAGTACGCTCCCAGTGTTATGTTGAACGATGACAAATCTTTCAAATGGCACGAGTACGTAAACAGTACAGCGTTGAACTTTTCCGTCCCCCAGATACACTCCCTTTCATAAATTACTGAACTTCAGAGATCTGTATCTTGCCTCGTGCATGGTAAAAAGTAGGCGGAGTTAACAGAGCGCTGGCGATAGGATGTCCACATCACAAGGTAACCCTCCCCCCACCCCCCAAAGAGTGCGTCGTGCAGCAAAGAGGAAGACACAGTCTGTTAATCTTTGTTTTGTCATCTCGTTTCAAAGTGAGCAGCCTAGGGGCACATCGTTTCCTTGTACGGTTCGTAGAATCAAGGTTGGGCACGTTTTCTACGGACCAAAGGAAACGTTTAATAGCCACTCTGATTTTGAAATATTTCTCTGAGAGCCACGTAAATCTATTGTCCGTGATATATCAACCGTTTTACGGATCTGGATGTTCTGTAAATATACGTGGTAACAAAAGAGGATAGGATATAACCACACGTACACGACACGATATTTTCACAGCGTATTTATACACCCACGGAGACAGACATTTTGATCCGGTTGCGCACACTAAAATTAGACATATAGAAACACGGTAAGGACGCTAAAATGTTTGGATCGGACACATGTAAATCACCAAGCAAAACTGTCCACTTATTGATCGTGTATATTATCGATTTGGGTGATCAGCACAGTATTTCTTGAATAACAGACATTATTGCCTTATTATGATTCAACTTCTACTGTTGTGTGGAAATAACCCGTCTCCTTGTGTTGATATTGCATTTAAACACCAAGACCGTTTTTCTACTAATGCTGTTTTCTACTAATTCTATTTTTCCTGCTCTATTAGGATTGATATGACGAAAACCACGTCAAGTTTATCACATATGATATTCAATATAGATTATTTTATTTTTTTTATTTTATGACGATTTACCACATTTGTGGAAGGATTGACATAACAGGTGAGTATCACCTCTTCAAAGATGTCAACCCCGAGACCAGACTGAAAGGTTTGAACCACTCACACCGGGAAGGTTCCCTACTCTTTTCGATAAGTGTGGTGGGTTCTTTAACGGGTGGGTGGGTGGGGGGTTTACCTTCTCTAACGGGACTGATGACTAAAATCACGTATATCACATGATATGAAACATAAATTGAATCAGCATCTGAGAACTTGTAAGTCATGTATTAAGTGGAAAAGGAAACTATAACTAATATTGACATTCTTATCTTGAAAGTTTATCTATGTTAATTATGTTGGAAGAAGTCATTATGAAGCATCTGTTGACAAAGACTAGTACAGGAGTTGCACGGTCGAAAATTGGGACAAGTCCAATTTCTTGCGTAAAAATCACAGTCCAGACTCAGCCTCATAATCTTGACATCCGTAAACTATATAAAGCAATCTGTTAGTGTATTAACAATGGCACAACGATTTGTCATGGGGGTGTGGGGTGTCCTGATAGTCTGCCAAATGATAAACATTTGTTTACTCAATCCTTCTGTGCGAACGTGCCATTGATATGTATATTTTTAGAAACATTGTATATATACACGGAGCATGTTTCTAAAATATTCTAATAAATCACATATTTGTTGTAGTTGCATGTTGATAACTTTGTTGGTTATCATGTAACTAGTAGTGTTTTACGTTACATGTAAATGTTAATGTCAGGGATACCTGAAATACAGGTGTGTTACCTTTGTATATTTCCCGGTAGACTTGAATAAGAATGAAATGATGTGACGGTAACCGTTATATTCTCTTTTTTCTAATCCACCTCTCCATGTACAAAACTGTAGGAGTTGAAAGAGGTCTATCGTGGGATTCATATACAATGACAAACTTCTAAAAGAACAAAACTCAACTAGATAATAAAATAGAACATCTGTACATAACATGAGACTGCTAGTATTCACAAGATGAAAACCTGCATATAGCGGTAGCCACTTGAAATTATCTGGCTAGACTCTATACGTACAGGTACACAAAATGGAACTTTATATACATACCAACTAAAAGAAGTCTTGTATCAGCCAAGAAAGGAACGATAAGTAGTCGAGAAAAGATCAACTGAACATGAAGAAAAC